ACTGCCTCCATCCAATCAACAGTCCACACAGCACATTTTTTCTTTTTCGATAATCTGTTTCACTCAGTCACAATACAGAAGAAATGATCTGTCACTATTTCTGTTTCATCGTGACTTTAAACTAGTACTATTAATCTACCAAGACTATATCAGCATATGGCATAATACAGAAAGAAAGGGGAGGTGACGCCACTTGTCCTATATGGTGTGCTGTACTCAGACAAGCACAGAAACACACACACCCTCAAACACACATACAATGTCACAAAGCTCATTTGGTCCCTCAGCTGGGTCCTCTGTCAGGGTCACAGCCATTTACTCTGTCCCATCCATCAGCACAGACTACACATGATCGTTACCTACACACCCAACCCTCACAAACACCGCTCTCACCCTCAGATACATTTTCACAAACACCAAAAACTGTAGTCCATACTTTACTTCACAAATTCACATCTAAACCCAACACCGTAACCATGTCTTGAACATTGGGAGGGGGATTTAACTCCTTTTATTTTTAATAACAATAATAATAATTATTATTTTATTTTAAAATATGCACACAATTACTCTTAATTGTGTGCATAATATGCCAAAAACATCTGTTAATGTTTGTTTTAGTTCATTTAATTATGAATTACATTAAAAGCAAAATTTTCCCCCCCAAAAAAAGGTTGTGCATCATTGGACATTATTGTTGGTCATTTAACAGTTCTATTGTAAAACATTTGTCAAATGATAAACGATTAGCTGCTTACATTCTGCTGCTTGCACTCTTTCTTGTCATGCTGGTATGCTGTACAAAAAAAAACGAAATCTGTGACATTTATTGTAAAAAAAAATATTGCAGCTGTGGTTGCTAGAACTTTATCATAAAAAATATACAACGTAAATATAACAAATTAATTTGTTTACCTTTGTAATATACTGACAACCACTTATATAAAAATATGTGTTTATATATACATATATATATATAGATGATAAAGTAAAAGCCTAATTTTGAACAAAGTTCATCACAAGTAGCTTTTCCATAAGCTGTGGTAAATGTATATAAAGAAGGTGCACGATGTTATACACACAAATACAAAACATACAGTACATATAGTACATGATATATAGTACATGACACTAATATAATGCAATAAATATTAATTTAACAACATAAGATGTAACAAAACCTAATAAGACTAAGAAGAAACTCTTAAGAAACTGTAGAAAAACCATCAAATATGAGTGAATTCTGCTCATGTCAATTTATGGTTTTCACTGTAAATTATAAGATGACTTGTTTTTTTTTTCTTCCACTTTCAGAATTTGTACATTTAACAGCATTTTAAAAGTGTGAAATAATGGAGTACAGCAGAGAGAGCAGCATCAAAAACATCTAATAGCGGTAAGGACAATATGACCATATCTGATTATTGCTTGTCCTCAACATCTGTGTTGGTTACAGCCCTGTCTAAACCCACTCATAAGCTCCGAGCAAAGACCTCTTTGCAGTCTCAAAGCTCTGTAGCACATTTCGACACCTTTACACACACAATCCCTGTTAAACCCCTCAAAACAAAACGCATTTTCAAATCCCAACGCTTCAATTCTTAATTAAAAAAACCCAGTGTTATGGAGATACTGTGCATTTCAGTGTACGTGCAGTTCGATAAACACCAAACTCTTTAAATATGCCGCTCAGACATGACAGACAGCAGTGTAGGGAGTCTGTGGTGCATATGCACACCAAAGCTCTGGGGAGGGGAGCAGAAATCCAAACAAATCAATGCAGGCCGAGCCCCGGAGAGACAGAGCATCCACCACCGCCAATTACTGCAGCGCAGAAACAAACACAGTGGAAGTGAACTGGAAGAGAAGGCAAAGTCTGTTGCTAGCAGGTAAAGTCGTCGTTTTGCGTGTGCGTGAGGCCGAGGGAGGGGAAGAGGAAGGTCTGGATACACTCACACAGGCAGGTTTGCTGGGTCTGGCAGTGTAGGCAGGCCACTCTGTAATTTACAGAGGTGGAATGCAGCATGCAGCCGCGGGTGCTAATTACAGAGCGTTCATCTCTCTCTCTCGCTCTCTCTCTTTCAGACTGTGAGCCAGCCGACTCCCACACTGCTCCGCTGTCAACTGCAACCTTCAGACAAAATGCAGAAGTGCGCACACACACACACACACACACACACACACACACACACACACACGGACAGATGTTTGGATAACATCTATGACTCAGGTGACTATACACGCTACAAAACCCACAAAAAATGTAAAGAGCATTGTAATAGACCCCATTACAAAACCACTGGAAATTGGCTGCCAGTACTTCTAAGGCTATTCATCTCTCTTGACTGGAATCTTGTCCCGTTATGTCTTTTTTAGCAGCTTCTGGTCAGGTCATATAGCATGCTCTCTTGGATGGCGCCGATCTCTCCAGTCATGGCATGTGTATTGATGCCTGTGCATAGAGACTGAATTCTTTGAAAGCCATCAACGAACTGCCAGTGGAAATGCACTTATGCATACACACATATATACAAACACACTCACACTGCCAAAGAGGCAAGTATTAAATTCCACCACATATATACAGAGTGTGTGTGTGTGTGTGTGTGTGTGTGCACCTCCACAGCAACAGTATCTGTTCTGTCCACTAATCATATTGTGTTTAATTACAAGAGTTGGATTATACTGGAGAAAGCCTAGGTCAGCAGGACAAGAGCCCAGATTTACTTCGAGAAACATCCACCCCCCTTCAGTGCTAAAATTCAATGTTACAGCTTTATGGACGCAAACGAGACACAAATGAAGAAAAGGATGGAAGACAAACTGTTTTAACTAAAACTGAGTGCTTGACAGGCTGAACGTCCAACTCATCATGTCAGATTTATTATGAGGTTCTGCCAGACCTCATATACTGAAATAAAGTGCTAATTCTAATACTTGCTGTCTTATGCAAACATGGTTTGACTGCTTACTAATGTCATTTCTAAATACGATTATAGCATATTAATGTTTCTGTTAGAAAATGCTAGACTGAAAATACTGCAAACAAAGGTTAAAAGAAGGGTAACCTCTTCAGCTGACTCCAGTGACAAGACTGACATTTATCTAATGGGCTTCATTCAATCTCTATCAAGCATTAAATCAGCAGAGTTGGGTTCAGTGTAAAGGGGTTATAGGTTAATAGGCGTTTATCCACATTAATCTGTATTGTGCTCAAAAGCAGTTTACCTATGATAACACCATCGCAGTAATAAGCTATCACACTGACCGATACGATTTTTTTTTAACTTTCTGTGTTCTCTACAGCCGTGGAGGATTTGCAGACTAATTTATTATGAGCTTTAGTGAAGCTGTATATGCTCAGAGAGATAAGGCTCAGATTAAACGCTGTCCTTTATCAGCATGCAGCACATTCAAAAGACACCGTTTCAATTTAATTAATTGCCCACAAGACAAGGTGCAAGGCAATTATTTTCCATACTTAGACATTCGTGTGAAAATAAGGACAGTAAGTGGGAACATATCCAGGAACAGAGGTCTTTGTTTTGCCTCTGGTTACGTCTCAAAATCTACTGATCTGTCTACCTAGACAGCTTTTTTTAGGCATCAGATGAGTCAGCTGAGCCAACCTGGAACACGCCTCTGAAATCCAAAATGCAACTCTCTAGATTTGTGACATAAATTGTGTCTGAAATCGTTCACTCATTCACTAATCCCTACATGGTATATTGTGGTAGAGTGCACAATATCAGCAAGGAGTGAACCGAATTAAGAGAGTAAATTCAGACAATGACTTAGCCATTGATCAAGGTAAGTGGAGTTGGGCTACTTGAATATGACCCTAGAATACAATTTATGAATGCCTGTCAAATGACCAATCACAACATAGAAAACAATTAGCCTAGCAAGAAGACCAACACTGCACCAATATTAATGAACATATCATTAATCTTCAAGTTACTTCTCATACAGACTGGTTAGCTGACATATTTGAGGTTTTCTCTCTTCTAGCTCTTCTCTCTCAGGACTTCTGAGCTTATTTATCACTGAAAAGTTTTATGTGCAGCTTATATAGAAAAATTTTAACAGTCATTTGAGGCCATTTTTATTATAGGGTATAGTTACTGTTTTTGGCTTAAATGAACTGTTCTAACTTTTGTTTTGATATTGTGATATGAAACTAGAGCCAGTATTTTGCCATGGGTAATGGTGAAATATCCAGTTCGTTGATTATACTTCATTGTCCTTTTTAAGGAATTTTTTTTTTTTAAATCAGTACAGCAGAAAATTACCCCCATCATTATCCAACGTTATTATAAATCTAACAATTGAAAATATTCATTGATACTGGTATAAAAAAAACAACTTTGTACTGATTATCTTTACACAATAGTACTCTATAACACTTCTCTGATGGCAGGGAATAAAAAATATGCATATAAATACATAGAAAGTATTTGACTGCTCAATGACGCATTGACCAATTAGAATTAAGTATTCGTGTAAAAATAATTAAATAAACGAAATAAATAAATAAATAAATAAAAATACTATTATTAATAATACCAAGTATAAGTATATTAATACCAATGATAATGAAGTCAATGCATAGCATAAACAGAATTTTCATTTAAAGACCTGAGCATAAGCACATGTAAACGTCAAGAGCTAGTCATATGAGCATCTGAATGAACCAATCCAGCGCACAACAGCTTATTTAGCAATACTGAGTCTGAAGATGCATTTCTCAACTAAACTATATCCTTCACTTCAAACACACTCACTTCAGACAATGCAACTGTTTAAATAACCATAGCGTGTGGGATACTGCTGCACAAAAAGTTGATCAAAGGAGTAAATGATGTACACAATTAAATCACAATATAATCGCACATTAAAACAACACAATTTTAAATGACCCCTTTCTTTCTCTAGCATTTTGTTGGGGTGACTGGTGCAATGGTCTTCGATACAGCACATGAACTTTCTCATAAACCTACCTGGATGATGTTCAGCTGAAGGTGCGGCCCCTTCCGAGAAGACTGCTGCTTTTAAAAGGTGAAAATGCGATGTTTTTGCCTGTGCCCGAACAGCTTTCTTGGAAAACAAAACAAATGTGTTCGGGCTTTGGACCTGCTGACAGTAATCCAAGTGACTCTTCTTGGTTGTCGTCTTGGGTTTCGGGACGAGACGCCGTGCAGCGCGTCTGAATTTCAAGCACCAAACACACACGGCTGTTTCACTCTCAGCTGTCTGTCTCCAGCTCCAGCAGACAACAAAAGTCCACCCTTTACCGTAGTGCGTCAAAGAAGAGCGCGTTAAAATAACGAGCGTGCGTTAATTACGCGCGTGTTTTATTTATCGGAATCTGACGTCAGGAAGTTGTCTTCGCTTAGAAACATTTAATAATTTTTTATGATTTATTAGTCTTAATTATAGAGCTTTATATCTAAGCTTTCTTGTTTGGTCAAATTTATTAGCTCTAGTTCATCACATTTAGCTATTGATACATAAAATGTTGAGAGAGCAGGCTGTGACTTTACTGTGATTATAGAGAATTGAAGGCCTTTTTAACGTGTTATTTTCGTATCACTGAGATACAGTTTTCATTAATATTTTGAAATAGTTTAAAAATATATATATTGTCTGTTTTAATTGTATATTTTGTTAAAGTTTTACTAATTTTGCTGTTTTTGTTTGTTTGTTTTTAAATGTTGATATATTTTTATTCTTTTTATTTTCGTTTTAGTTAACTAATAACCATGGGAGATATATCTGTGGAAAAATAACTGCAATTAACTTTAATATTTGATGCCAGGCAAAACCAGACATTATTATATCATCAAAAGCATATAGTGTATTAACCAGATTAAACAACTTTGTTTTCAGGTAGACTGATTAGAAGTGTGCCTTTATTGTTTGAAATTGCCTAAGGACAATCAGATTAGAGTTTACAAGACTGAAAAAGTGCATTCCAGTTTTATGTGCAATCTGCATCAGATGGTCAGTAAATGGTCAGACTGAGGCCGAGACAACCGCCAATGTGTCCTTGAGCAAGGCACATAAACCCAAGATGCCTGAGAGGGATGCTGTTTACTGATGTGTCAACAAAAATCTCAAATATACTATTCAAATGCTAATAAAAGCAATCAGTATGAATCTTTGACATTATACTGCTTTTATCAGCATCCAAATGATTAGTGCAATCATTCTAGGTAGCCAAATATTATGTGGATATGAATTTGAAATATGGATGTGTTGCCTGTGTGCATTCTCACACACATTGCAATAGAGGTGTTGGGGTGGTGCATGAGGCCCAAGAGAGCCACTCACTTACAGGGTAAATGATGGATTTTTGGTGGGAGCATTCGAGTGAGTCTGCTATTGCTGATGTTGGCGTTTCAACACTAGATACGTCATCATCATCACTCACAACGAATGCTGATCAGTGTTTTTAGAAATTAGTTATGAATATTTGAGAAAACAGTGTCTGGACACTAAGGATTTTTGGTGATGTTGAAGCTAACAGTTCTAAGTCAGTAAGAAGATGCATGAAACATTTAGACTCTAATCTCATGTCATATTAAGTTTTGATGTAAAAATTGATTGCCCCCAGCTGGTTTGAAGTGGGACATGCATCATGAAACATTTAGACTCTAATCTCATGTCATATTAAGTTTTGATGTAAAAAAGCTGGTTTGAAGTGGGACATGCAGATGGACCACTTGGGGTTATCTCAGAATGGTGACAGCAAAAATTTCAGCTCTGTCTTCGGTTCTCATGGTAACAGAGGCAGGAAAAGTGATGCACAGCAAAGCGGTAGAGAAGAATGACAGCGGAGGATTACGCACCAGCATGAGGCATAAACCGCTATTATAGCAACTAGCAAAAGAGGCAGGTTGTCAACTTACATTTCTTGGCTTGTCACCCTGGCAAACAGTCGCTATTAAAGAAAAAAATGCACAAGCACTAATGTTAGTCACATATCAGACTCATCTTAGAACTTTGCATTAATCAGGTCTGGGGTTCATAATATTGCTTTCTCCAGGGAAAAAGTCGTCTTGTCTGAATCAGGAGAGAAATCAAGCACAGTTTACAAGTAAAAACAGTCCAAATAATGTATTTAAACAAATATGTCAGTGGATTTTGATGTGAGAGGACAACAGGGTATGGACTTTTTCCACCCTGGAAGCATTTTTATGGATTATGGGCGGGTATTTTTGCCAAAAGCAAAAGCAGTTAAAAACATTGTAATGGATTTATTTATAACAAACACACAGCTTTTAACTTCACAAGATGTCATTTGATGGACTGGAGTCATGTGGATTACTTGTGGATTATTGTGATGTTTTTATCAACTGTTTGGACTCTGATTCTGATGTCACCCATTCACCGCAGATGATTCACTGGTGCATGTAATGCTAAATATCATATCTATAATCTTGATTAATTCTCTAAACTTTTTGCATTCTATCTATTTGTTTTCTTATTATTTATTATACAATTATAATTCTGACTTCTGATTTACAAAAGCAAAAAAGGCCTCTAACACTAGCTTGCTCTATTCTTTTTCTATTCTATCCATTTTCTTTTTATATGATTAAAAAAAAAACTTGCTACGTGTACTGCATTAAGCTAACTGAGACTTGTTATAGCACTTGCATATCATTGTCCTCATTTGTAAGTCGCTTTGGATAAAAGCATCTGCTAAATGTAAATGTAAATATATAATGCTGACCCAAATCTGTTGTGTAATCTGACAATCTACATCTTGGATGCCCTGAGGGTGAGTAAATGTTCAGCAAATTTAAATTTTTGTGTAAATATATTCCTTTAAAAGTTAATCTTTAAAACACTACTAATTTAAAAACACTGTTAAATGTGACCTTTAGCCAATTTCAGAATGAATGCCTATGTTTATTACTATAGATTATAATAATAAATTCACTTGCATAATTTAATATGATTGATTTCAGATTTTTAGTATTTTATTTGTAGTTTACAAAATAGCAAATAATTTAAATATTGGCAATTTATTCATCAAATAACATGAAAATAATTATTAGCTTATCATATTGGCCAGAAATTTAATAAGAGTGCAACCCTGGTGCCAACAGCATAAGAATGTATATAAAACCCATACACTGCTAATTCTATTTCAAAGGACGAGCAAGCAAATGAGAGGTGATTGAGAATGCAGGACCATGAATGGGAGAGGAGCAGGAGGGCCGGAATTTGTTCAGAAAAATGGTGCCGCCACACTGATAAGAGTGTGTGATAACATTGACAGAGGGAGACAGCAGGGGACAAGAGGCAGACATGAGGGCAAGTGATGACAAGCAGCGGCTCATGCCCGCATGCGCTTGCATTTATTCACACACACAGAGACAAAGTACAGATACCATTTGTGCAACTATTTAAAGTCTCAAGACGTAGGTTACTGTCTTCAGTTCACTGGATCATAAATACACACATAATGCTTATGTTCTAAGGTTTAGAGTTTTATACTCTCACTACTGACTTTTTTATGAAATGCAGAATGAGCAGCATAAGTTTTGAAAATATACAATATTAATGGTTTATGTTTCTTATTTTGGCGGGGTTACATAACTACAAAAGCAGGGTCACCATCAGTGGAATCGCTAGGGATTCTGGACCCATTGCACACAATTTGCTATGGGGCCTTCTTAAAATCATGTTCTCCCCAGTTGTGACGCCCCTGGTCACCACGATGTAATGCTCCATGCTGCAATTTTACTTGTAAAAGTGCTTTTACTTGTAGCTTTTATGCAAAGTCTTAAAGTCGTGACGAAGATTTTTGTGGCTTCTTTGATTGGGCAGTTTTATGGATAAATGAAAGAGAGTTTTATGATTCAGAAGAGCGTAAAAGATGATGCTTAAAAAAATGAAAAGATGGATTTATACTATCCAAAAGATTGGATATAATGCTACTTTGGCTTGGAATAATCTACAAAGCATTCTAAAGCTGACAGTGTTTCCATCATTACATGAATTTAAGCTACTTTTAACAGGCTGTGTGTTTTATCCTTTGGTGAATTGCTCTTGTGATCTTTGATTTTTGTTTTGTATTATGATGTAAACTTGTATGTAATATGTTATTTGTTGCTGCTTTCTTGGCCAGGTCACTCTTGCAAAAGAGATTTTAATCTCAATGAGTTTTTAACCTGGTTAAATAAAGAAATGACATACATCTGAGTGAAACAGGCTATTGAAAAAGAAAAAATGTAGGGTGGTGGTGGTTCAATCCATCAGTTGAGTGGATGGAGGCAGAACTGAATGGGAGCATCCAGTCGAATGTACACTCTAAAAAATGCTGGGTTGTTTCAACCCAATGTTGGGTCAAATATGGACTAACCCAACTGTTG